CGACTTCTTTACGGATGGTGAGGGGGCTGACATCAGCTAGCCGTTCGGCTATTCATCCCTCACCAAGCCCTGAGCCATGGGATGGCGGCGTCAGCGGGACGCTAGGGTGAATCAGCCCGTATACGTAAAATGGCGTGTAGTTGGCAGACATACGCGCTGCAGTGTTCAGTGCAAAATCTACGAGTGGCAATATGGCGCTCCAGCGCCTCGGCGTCTAAGCGCAGACGCTGCGAAGAACGTCTTTAACGACGCGATTCACGCGTTCAGTCTGACCATCGGTCTGCGGATGATCCGCTGTCGACATATCCAACTTGGTGCCTAGCACCTTGAAGATAGTCGACCAACATTTTTCCATAAAACGGTGGTTTATATCAAAGACAACCGACTCTGGGAGTCCGTGTTGACGAAAAGCACGATTCACGAACAGCGTTGCTGTACCGACTCCGTTGATGGTGTCTGGCTCCGCCGCCAAATGAGCCATCTTGCTCAACCGGTCAACGAATAATACGACACCCGAGTTGCCTGCCGAATCATCGGCAGACCAAACCCAAAGTCCGAGCTCACTGCCTGCCAGCACCCAGTGGGTATCGGTAAGCTGGCCAGCGGCGCAGCCGCATTTGGAGCGGTTTTCACCCGTTGACACGTCTCACACGTGCACACATAGGTGCTCTTCCATTTGTACAACTTGGGCCACCAATAGTGGTGACTCACGGAGTTGCTCGTTTTGTCACGACCGAGATGACCACCAAGTGACGTATCGTGAGCCTCATAGAGGATGCGATATTTCAAATCCTTATCATGAGAAACCACAATTCGTGGTGTATCCGTTGAATCGGTGCTATAAAACAGCAACCCGTTATTCAACGAATATCGGTGTAACCGTGCACGCAATCTTATTTCTTGTCCGAGCTTCTAAACTCTTTGTTCCCTAGAGCCCGTAGCAACGCTACACACATCTCTGTCACCCGCATACGCGGTGCGGGTCAAATCCGTCTCTGACGACGTTACAATTTGTAACATGAGCAAGCTCATAGTCTAGTCTGCGTGACAACGCATCAGCCAATGTATTCTGCTTTCACGGCTTATACTTCACCTTAAAGTTATATTTCGCAAAGAAGGATAACCATCTGGCCATGGAGCGATTTAGCCGCAGTGCGTAGTGACGCATGATCTGTATAGATCACAAACACCTTGGAGCCGAGCAGGTGAACCCTGAACTTGACAAGTGCATACTTCATCGCGAGTAGCTCCTTGTCATGAACTGGGTAGTTCTTCTCTGCAGCTTGAGCTGTCGAGATTCAAGCGCAATCACCCGATCTCGCCCCTTGGCGTCTGCTTGCAGCGGTGCACAGCCGATGGCGACGCTGAATGGACGATCAGGGCCTGGCAGCGCCAGTATTGGTGCATGCAGGAGGCTGTCTTTGACCCCGTCAAAAGCCTCCTGGTGTTCGGTGATCCAACACCATTCCGCATCCCTTTTAAGGAGATTGGATAATGGCCGGGCT